CTACTGTATTACTGGGGAGACCTTATCTTTTTCTTTTCTCCCTCTTTTTTTTTTAAGCTTGTTTATCTTTTTTTAAGTTTTTTTTTAAGCTTAGTTTTGAAGGCAGAGGTAAAAAAACTAACATTGGTATAATCTAACATTTTTAACAGTATAAAAGGGATAATGTATAAATGGATTTTAAAACTAAAATTGATTTGGGTGAATGTGGCTCATGGCTGGATGATCAGCAGTCATCACCTATAAGAGAAAAATTTAAGCTTGACCGCTGGGAAAACCCTCTGAACTATAGAGGAGAAATGCTGTTACCTTCAGATACAACGTTCACTGGTCCTCAGCGGTGGAGGAGGTGATGCAGTGTCACTCCTGGCAGAAGCATGAGACAGATGTCTGCAGAGGGGGAAGGGAATTCAGTCAATGGGAGGAGGCTTCAGCCTCAAAGATATTTTAGAGCTAAATTTAACCAATGTCAAGGAATCATCCAAGATGTGCTGAGGTTTGCTGTATTATCTCCGGGTGATATGGGATGTGCCAAAGCCAACCAAGGCATCCGGTTTCACTCAGCTGGAGCCACAGTGCCGGGTTATTTGGTGGCTGGATAGGTTGAAGAAATAACTGCAACTGAGAGGCAAACCTGCCTCCTTCCCACTTCCCAGCCCTGGCCAGCCACACTTTTGGATGCTCTCACACCCTGTGGCGTTGTTTTATTTCTCATTTCACTACTGGAGCCAGCCACGCATCAAAACTGGGGGAATCAGAACGAAAGACAGTGTTAAAATTGTGGACTGATTGAATTGACACCTTCTTTTCAAATGAATGCTTTGCTTCCCAGAAGCAACGTGTATTTAGGTACCGATTAGTAACAGGCCAAGTGAAGTGAGTCCTCGGCACGAGAGCTGCTGGCTCTGCTGGCACGGAAGGGAGCTGCCTGCACCCTTGGCTGAGGTGTTGGTGGCTCATATTTCTGCATAAACATCTCCAAATAAACTTTAAAAAAAAAAAAAAAAAGCAGCACTATTGACAAAGCAAAGGCCAGCTCTATTTATATCTGCAGTAAGGCTGTGATAATGAAAAGATGCTTTAATGTGTCCCAGGGCCTAGATGAAACGCTGAAAATGTTGCTTTTAAGAAAAAAATGATAATAATATCCCCTTGAAATCCCAGAGAAATGTGTGTGGTGGACTTCTGGAGAGCAAAATCAAAGAAATGAAATAAGAGTTGCAGAGCGTAGGGAGTTACTGCAGTTATGGGCTGTGAATTGGTTTAAATCTTTGCTTTTAAGCTTTTTTTTCTAAGTATCTCTTTAAAAGTAACACTTTAATGAGAGAGAAAATGTTTTAGTGACACTGAACTGTAGCAACAGTGCAAATCTGTCAGACTTTACCTTATTTTGGAGTGTAAATCGTTTCCCTATGGTTGCTTCTGCTGTCTGGCCCCTCTTATGGGTGTCAGACTCCTGGAGGGGACTGGGAGGGATGGCGTGAATGTCTGCAGAGGAGGACAGATGGGTAAGAATCTTCTTTCAGCACAGGATTTGCAGCTTTATAGTTAGAAAGGAAAGAAATTTTCCTTTTCTAAAAGTCTTTTAGTGTAGTTGGGTTTTGTTGAGGCAGTTGGAAAATTGGGAAAATGTAAATATTTACTCAAAATATCATCTTTCATTTCATCTTGTTGCATCTTTGACTAACTTTTGTCAGCTGGTTGTTTCATGGCATTGAGCAGGTGTAAAATATGGTTCCTGGGGCAGAAAATGCCCTTGAGCACTGCTGAGTGGGTGTGCAGTGTCCCTTTCTCCAAGAAGCCTCATCATAAGTCATTGTTTTGGCCTCATTATGAATTTAGGTGAATGGCTGCCAAAAGCAGCACTAACCAAGCAGGACTCAGTGGCCAGAGCCTGTCACCTCCCTGGTCCTCTCTCCCAGGACACCCGAGGGTCCTCACCAAGACCCCCCCAGCTGGACTCTCTGCTCCAAAACCAGTGTGTGCCTGATGCATTTTATTTTAACTTTTTTCAATCAACACTGTTCATTTCTACCTTGCATTTTTGTCTGCTTCTACTATATCAGACTGCTCTTCTCATTTAGGTTCTTTGATAACAACAAGATAACTGTGAAAATCCCACCTGGCAGTAGAGGTGGTGAGCCATGTTCATGTAGAAAGGGGAACTGATTTTTAACCACACCGTCCAGAAGAGTTAAATGAAGGCAGCAAACTATAAAGCTTAGGCTATTTGTTGAAGTTGAAAATAGATCAGGTTTTGAGTCATGGAATTTGGTTTTCTGAAGCATGAGTGATGATATTCACCCTTTGCCCTTGGAGCAGGGAACGTGCTTTGTTTGGACCATGTGCAGCTCTGAGCATGCTGTTGGCACTCATCAGATAACTGTGATTATTAACAGTGCACAGATGTACTGGCCTTTGCTTTCAGGTAGTCTGGCAGCTGGAAAGAGTATGAAAGAACTTATTACAGACAGGTATTCAGGTGTGAGTTAGAAGACTAAAAGGAAAAGAAATTCTGGTTTACCTGTGTAATTAAAGGCACGCTCTGTAGAGGAAAACAGAAAACAAGCAAAAGTGTATGTAGTGCATGCACAGATGGGAAGGCTCACCGCTGTAGCTTGCTGAGAGGTAGAAGGAGAAAGAGTAATGCTGATTTTATACCTTTCTTTTGTTCCTTAGGTGCCCATTTGCAAATATAGATGGGCAGGTGCATTTGTATTATTTATGTTAAAAGAAGATGAAGGTTGTAAGGAAGAGAAACTGGGACACGCCAGGTTTGCCACTGCTCACTCAGTCTCTGTGTTGGCCAGCCAGGCTGTTTATGTTCCTTTTCTGCCTGAGGGAGCTTCTCAAGAAGAGCAGGCAGACTGGCCGTGGGCAGTGCCTTGGGCTGTGGTGTGGGCTGCCCGTGCTGCCTGCACTGCTGCTTGCTCAGGTGCACAGCCCTGCCACAGGGGCTGTGCTGCCCACAGGGCACCAGGGTGGTGGCAGCTGCTGAGGCAGTGACAACCACTCCCTCCTGGCACTTCTGGTAGCCCTGGGGTCCCCACAGCCCCTCTGGCGGGTGCCTGGGCACTGTGCACTGGCCTGGCCAGCCCACACGCACTGAGGGGGTGGTTGGAAAAGCAGGGCGTCCAGGTCAGTGTGCTGGCAGAGCAGCAGCAGCCTGGTTTGGCCATTGGCCCCTGGGTGCCTGTCTGACAGCCCCAGTGTGACATCCCCCTTTGGGCAGGACACACAGGCCTGCAGCCAGCTGGGGCTCAGAGCTCCCCTCTGCAAACCCACCTGCTGAGGCTGGCACAGGCCAGGAGCTGAGCTGCCACACTCCCCCCTTCAGCTTCAGAGCCACCATCCTCACCTCAGGATATTCAGTGTTTTCTGTTGCAGGGGAAAGTCAGAAAAATCCTGATTCCTTCTCTTGCCTGTGTAAGGACCATTTCAGGCCCCACTTATACCCCTCTTTCTCCTGGTGCTGGACAAACAAAGCCCAACAGCCCCTCTTTAGCCAGAAGATGCTCTCTCTCTCTCTCTTTTGCTTGTTTTTCTCACCCGCCACTCAGCCAGCTCCTCTTGAAGCTGGGCTGTATTGTCTCTCTGATTTCCTGTTGTTGGTTGGGCTGATTTTAATTAGTTTGCATTTTCAGTTGTTTTTCAGCTCATCAGGAAGGATAATTAAAATAAAATCCTGCCCTCCGTGCTCCTCTCCATCCGTTGTAGCAACACCAGCTGAGCATGCTAATCTGAGGAGCGATAAAGGCAGGGCTTACTCCCCGTGAAGTGTTTGGAGGCTGGTTGTTAAGCATTACATTATTCAAAATGCATTAAATTGTCCTGAATGAGGAGTAAGCGTGCCTCGATCATAAAGTTCCCTAAATTTGAACTAGATTCACCTCCTGCCTGCCTCATTCCTGTTCTGCGAGGAAAGCTGTGGACAGGGAACTGGCAAGGAGTAGGAGGCATAAATTGGAGATACCCACAGCTTGGACCAAAAGCCTTATATAAATCTTTTCGATTTCTAGACTTTAGAGAAATGCAGTTGGCATTACTGCCTTCTGTTGACCAAGCAGGAAAGTTTAACTGGTAGTCCATTCAAGAGTCTGGAGGTGGCTTTGAGGTCTGAGGGTGGTTTAAATGTTACTGGTAGGGAAGAGGGAGAAGGGGAAGTAACACATTTCAACATTTCCAGGTTTACAAAACGTGTATGCTGAGCTGAAGACTGTTAGGTTTGGCTCAGTCTCAAAACAAGGAAAGCAGAAAAAAATATAGAGAGACGACAGGTAAACAGTTAAGCAGAGATTTTTTCAACTTACTACTGATATTTGTGTTTGCTGTCTTTTAGGTAAATGTGAAAACAACTCTTCAAAGTTTGTCTATTGACTCATAAAGGATTTTGTAATTACTATTTATATTCCTTGTATCAGCACCACTATTGGAAGCCACTAGAATGTCATTGTCTCCTGTATCCTAGGCCTGCCATTGTCACTGTGAAAAGCTGACTCCTGCCTTGCTGAAAACTTGTAATAAGCAAATGTCAGTCCTCCCTAGCTGCAGTTAGCATAAAAAATAACAATGCTGAGGATCTGTGTGAGGAGGAGGGGCTCCTTTTGCATCTGTTGGCCATGATGGATGAGCTGGGATTTCCCGTCCTCCCTCTGGTTCAGTAGCAGAGCATCACACAGGCAGATAAATCCAGCACAGAACAGGAGCCAAGTGCTGGGACCGGCACACGCCGTTGCTCAGTCTGACTGCCAAGCTGCCAATTACATGGCAATTAGTAGGGTAAATGTCTGAGAAGTGTTTCCCCCTCCCCAAACATTTTATGTTTTTTTCATTGTTCAGGGGGCAGTGTGTCTGTTCCCGAGTTGTCCTTGACTTTTTTCACTTGCTAGCCTTAACCAGTTACAGGGTTTCATTAAACCTCCAAGCCAGCTAAGCCCAAGGAGGCCTTGCCCTTGTGCCCTTGCCCACGTGACTCTTCATCTCCCTCCTTTTGTCTCTCCCAGAGGTCAAAAATAGCTGTCTATGAGAAAATGTGGTCGTACATGAAGTCGGCCGAGCCTTCGGTGTTCACCAAAACGACGGCGGACGGGGTGGCGAGGGTGCGGAAGTCCAAGGGGAAGTTTGCCTTCCTGCTGGAGTCGACCATGAACGAGTACATCGAGCAGCGCAAGCCCTGCGACACCATGAAAGTTGGAGGCAACCTGGATTCCAAGGGCTATGGTGTAGCAACCCCCAAAGGCTCAGCATTAAGGTGGGTGGAATAATATAACAATATCCATGTTGTTATAGTATTCCACCTACCCTGATGTATTGTGTTGTCATTTTCTTTCTTGTGGATTTTGAGGTAACTTTAAAGTTTAAAATCTTCAATATTCCATGGAGTTAAATAAGACGGTAAATTATGGTTTCATTTATTTAATGCATCCATTTTTTGTGTTCTCTTCGTGTTGTCCTTTCTGATTGTTTGTTGCTGTTTTAATTTTACAGTTCAATGGCTTTTTCAATTTAAATGGTAAAAGCCAAGTTAACCTGCCATATGTGACGAATGTTAACTGCATGATGTGGTGTTCTTGTTACTTTTTTTCTCAAAGACGATTTCCCCATCCCGCACACTTCAGTTTTGAGCAAATGTTATCCTCCATGCCACCTTCCAATATTTAACCCTGTATTTGCTGTACAGACATTTTGATAGCTCCACGTTCTGTGAAATTTTAGCCAATTTGTCCTCTTGTGCTCCTTTTTTTATACGTTACGATTTCCTAAGCATTTGTGCATTTTTTCTTACAAGTTATGTTTTATCGTTTCAAGAAATGCTGTTAACCTGGCAGTATTAAAACTGAATGAGCAAGGCCTCTTGGACAAATTGAAAAACAAATGGTGGTACGACAAAGGAGAGTGCGGCAGCGGGGGAGGTGACTCCAAGGTCAGCCTCAATGTCACCACAATCGGGTACCTTAGCAAAGAGTAATCGGCAAGGCTGTTATTTCGCTTCTCAAAAAAAAAAAAAAAAAAAAAAAAAAGAAAGCAGATGAAAACCATTTCACTAATTGTGGTGGGGGAGAAAAAAAAGCCATTTTCTTGCTCAGTAGCTCTTTCAAAGAAACGATCTTGTTTAATATCATCAGCAGGCTTGGTCGAGCTTGGAAACCTTATTTAACTAACAGATAGAAAGTCCAGTATTGGTGGGATCTACGCTGAGCAAATAAGTGAGGTGACTGTACAAGAAACCAGTGATGGCATCTGGCCTCTGCACTAACCCCTGAAGACAAGGCTTCGGTCCTCGTCCATGATTTAGTTGTGATGCAGAGCAGGTTTTGAGAGGCTTTTCTTGCCAGGGCCAGCTGTGCCAGTGCAGACCTGGAGATGAAAGGGCTCCTGTCTTCTCTGCTCTTCTGGGTAGGGGTCAAACAGACCAGTACCAGCACGTGAGGCTTCGCTGGCCTGAACTGGAGCCATGAGAGCCCCTGGGAGGAAGCCTGATCTGTGGAGAAGAGGTGCTGGGGTGGGGCTGTAGCTCAGAGAGGGAAAGGGCGGCTGCTCACCTAATCACAGTGTGGGGCTCTAGAGATAAGAGTTAAGCAAGGATCATGGCAGAGACATAACATTACACAGAGATGGGAGTCACCTGTTGACGGTAAAATAGTAGCAACAAGGGTAACATGCATGGAGCTTGTGGTAGGCAAAGCTGAAAGGCACTGCTTGCAACTGGGAAGTGTATTGATGCTCTAAACTGGAAATTGATCTTAAGGAAAGAGGGTTTGGAAGTTTTGCCAAGAGTATTCAGATGTCACCTTATGTACAGCTTTGACCAGTATTCTGCACACACCTGTGCAGGAGCCCTGCATCTGTGTTTGACGTGCCTTTGATACTGATGTAGGCTCAAATCTGGCTCTAGTGGCAGCAGTGGCAATGCTGTCACTGCCTTCTGCTGAGCTGAGGCTCCCCCAGCCTTCCAGGCAGCCTGTTTGGTACTGAGGCTCATGAAGTCTCTTCAGTGAGCTCATGTATTGTAGAACTTAACTAATGGTCTTTCCTATTGCCACCCTTACCCTGTAAAACTAGCAGGTTGTGCAGTCTTTAACCCAGTGAGGAGAAGCTGTAGCTAAAGTAGTCTGGATACTGTTTGTCACCTTGGGTGCTGGAATTACCAAGAAAATTAATTTAAATGACATCGTTATACTGAAAAGTACTGAAATTCATTTTCATAGTGACAGTCTCCTACAGCTAGTAAAACCAGTTCTTTAGGGAACAATAACTCCTAATCTTACTTATAAAAATGCTTCAGCTTTGGTCCAAAATCAATAATATCAGTATTTTCAGTAGACTGCAGTTTCGGATAATTACTGCAAATTACTGCTGCATTCTATTAATAAGAGTTGCTTACAGTTGGCTACATAGGAAATTGCTCATCTGGTCATGTCTGATGTTAGCAAAAGCCACTGTGTAATATTGAAGGAGGGAAAAGCTCTCGAATTCAGGTTTGTTCAATAGCTGGAGGTCTGCACTGCTCAGTAGCAGCCTAGTGATGAGGATGAGCTTTTTTATGCTTTTTAGCTCTGCTGCTCATCCTTCACAGAACATTTTTATATAATGTCCTACTTGCCAGTATATTAAATGTTTAATATTCTCCTGGGATCCAGCACCTCATTGTCCGACGCTGCCTCCATGAAAGAAAACTCTTTGTACAAACCAGCTCCAATGAACTTCATTGCTTCAAGATCATTGAATTAAACTCAGCCAATAAAACTTACAGCCCTAAGGAAACTAAAAAGGATTTTTTTAAATGGTCATAATTAGGGCAGGGCCATCCTTCTATTTTTTTGATTGTGGTGAAAGACCTTTTACAAAGAGTGATACTGTCTATTAGCAAGCCCTTGGCCTGCTCAGGGAGTGTTGCAGCAGTGAGTCAGGGATGCTGTGATAACATGAGTTGGTACCCAGAGAAGAAGGAAGGGGAGCAAAAACAGTAACGAGTGTTTTGCTGTGTTAGTCCAAAGTGGTGTCTTTCTGCAGTTTATTGTAACCCTCTGTGGTGAAGGACTGCTTGCTTGTTTGAGCTGCAGACGTGGACGTGGCTCAGCTGGCACAAGTTCCCACAGAGGAGAACGTGGGTAGGAGAAGACCTCCCACAGAAGACTTAGCTGAGGGAGGTGGAGGAGGGGTTAGTCGCTGTTTCCAGAGGTGTGGTAAATCAAAGGGCTTTTTTGTTATGAAGTGGTTTTTCTTTTGAAGTAGCATCCCGTAGGCTCCGAGTGCTGCGGGCTGCGATGCAGCGCCCATGCAGCAAAAAGGAGATGCCTTCCCTGCAGCACCCACCCCCATCGGCCATGAGCACCGAGCTCGGGCCATGCCCCCACCCAGGGGGACCCCGCTGCCCTCTCGGGAAAGCTGAGCACCAGTGCTGCCTTCTGGGTACCACAGCTCCAACAATCTTGCTGACCTCTCTCTCTTCTCTGTCCTCCCACCAGAAGTTGCCCTCATCATCTCATCCCATCTCTCCAGTTGATTGTTTATATGAGCACGGCTTCATTTATAGAGCTTTCGGAGGAGATGCTTCAAAACTGTTCTTTTTTTTTCCCTTAAAGGAGGTGGTAGCTGGGGGAATCAGAGCAGGCGGGGTGGTGAAGGTGCCTGAGGCTGAGATATCGAGTTTGCATCACGTCACAGGGGGTGATGTGGGGACCATTGCTCACTCGGGGCAGCTCTCTCTACCGGCTGAGCTGACAGACCCCCTCTCAGCTTTGCCAGTAGAGACCCAGGCTTGGGAAATCGCTGCCCCAAGTTTGCAATCATCGGCCTCCTACCTACTGCTGATGGGTTGTGTGCAGCTGAATGAGTTGTTGTAAACTGATAGTGCCGGGTTCTTAAGCTGAATTCCTCTGTGCACTCTGATATTCCAGCTGATGCTGAAAGCCAGAGGTAAGTATGCAGCCTGCTTGCCTGTGCCAGTGCCCATGATTGTACCACAAAGGACCCAGTCACCCAGAAAATGCCCTCCTGTGCTTGTCCTCCCCGCGGCCTCGCATGCGGTGTGCCTGTGCTTGGAGAGGAATGGTTCTGAGTTGTGAGTTCATCCCTTGTTACCATATCTTCATTGACAATCGAAAATTAATCAGTGACTTCCGATTTCACAAGGATTTTGAAGCGGGAAAGAAGAAAAGGTATTCAAGTGACTGTCTGCAAGATTTTTAATCTGTTGGGTTACACGGAGCGTAAGGTTAGTCCTGCAAGCATCCCATGCTCCTGAGGTTCACTTGTAATTTAATACTGAAGACATTGTGCCATTTTAACGAGACTGTTTTCAAGGCCTCAGCTGACATGTGTCTTGTTTTCAGTGTGACCAGTCTATGCCAGCGCTGGTGTGGAGCAGAGCGTGCCAGTCTGCCCTGAAGTGCCTTAGCTGCCGGTACTGCCCTGGCAAAGGGACATACCCAGTTTTTATAGTGGTCCTTATTTAAGACGTCTGAAGGGGAATGTGCTCCATCCATATGTAATTTTTCTGGGATGCATGTCAATACGTGTGGGCTGGCTTGGCTGGTGCAGACGTTCTGGTACGTGCATCGAAATTTGTTCGCTTATCCCTCCTAAAGGAGCATGAATTCAGTTTCATGGCAAAATTATCCTCTCTTCAAATGCTCTTATACATGTGAGCCGAGTTCTCAATTATGAGAGAATACAAAACAGAAGTTATAAAAAAACCATATTCCAGGAAATATGTTACAGTGTATTACAAGTTTGGAAACTAATTATTTTGTTTATTATACAATCCTATCATCTTGGAGCTGAGTGATGGCTGAATAGGAATTTAACAAGAACTAGACAAAAGGGGATGCAGACGGCGGAAGCAGGCTGAGTGACTTAAGTGAAACTAATTATTCAGCTGCATAGGAACAATTTTCTGCTAAGATAAATTTCTATAGTTCTGCTGTTGATAGATTTCTTGTATTCTTACACCTTCATGGTAACATTTAATGACAGCCAACACGGAAGGAGAATGTTTGAATGCAGCTTCTCGCTGGCCTCACACGCCAAGATTCCTTGCTAATTGTTTGACTAAATTTTTTTACTCTTTTTTTTAATGTATTCTTTTTTAGGCTGATATCTCTTGTGGAGTGTATCTGTGAAAATGACATGGAATGCAATACTACTTCATTTTCCAATTGTTTCTTTTTGATCATAGGATTACCTCTCAAACGTGCTAGCTGAGTTGTGCCCTCAGAGCCGCGCTCCATGCAGCATCCCAGGCCCTTCCGAGCTGCCGGTGTGGCCATTAGCAGATGGGATCTGTTCCCCCATTTCTCTGCGCTGGTTTGCTTTGATATATTTTCAGCACAGCCGTTGGCATTTGCAGCATAATTTTTTTTAAGTGGCATATTTTTAGAGGAAATCTGTTATGCATTACTTCAGATGATACCTGACGCCTAAAGAGCACCATTGCCAAGCGGGTCGTGCGTAAAAGGGAACATTTGAGGAAATGGCCATCTTCAAGAGATGCAGTACGATTTATTTGAGCAATTTGTTTGGAATTATGTTCATCAGCATGAATTTCCTTGTCACCCATTCTATGGGCCTGGGTTATGAGCTGGAAAAAGATAAAATGGCTAGTCAGAGCCAGTGACAGTAACACAGAGCTAATTCGTGCTCAGAGCTGGGAAAGTAATATGAAATTATGGTATTGTGCAAATTAGTGACAAAGCAAAATAATGCTTTAAAAAGAAGACATCAGAATATTGGTTTAATTGGCAGCTATTACTTTACAGTAGATTAGGAAATAATACTGTGCATGTTTTGTGCCAAGAATGAAGTCTTAATGCTCCAGAAGTTCATTGGAGTTTCTCACTTAGGGCATTGCCAGGAAGGGCAGAGAGCCTGCTCTGGTTTGCAGAAATGGCAGTGCTGTTGTGCAGATTGTTGAGGGCATTT